GCCACCCCTCGCCCCCACCCCCTCCGCCCTTCCCGCCGCCCGGGCGCTCGGCGCGCTGTTCCGGCGGCTCGGGGCAGCCTAGGCGTCTTGTTTGATGTCGCCCCCTCTTCCCCCCGCCCTTCCCCGGGCTTGGAGGCCGCTGAAGGCCTGGCACACATTTCTCAGACACTTCATTCCTTCCTTCCTCCCAGCTCCCCACTGAGATAATGTTGTAAATGATTTCACCAGATCTCGTCTCGGCTGAGATTAGGCGATTCCTGACTCTGGGTGACCTTGTGCAAGCCCCCCTCTTCCTTTCATTATGGATCGCCACTCTGTGCCAGACAGTGTGTTAATCCCCCGGATTACCACGTTGAGAGAGACAGTGGCAGCCTACAAGGAGTTTCCAGTCCATTCTGGAGGCAGACAGACCCTGACTTTCTGATTGATGACCAGGCATTCCTCTACCGTTCCTTTTTCTTTGGGCTTAGATGATGGCCGGAGAGATCAGGAGAACCTAAAAGAAACACTAGAGCACACATGTGTGGGCAACAGTATTGGTCTATTTGGGGATACAGGGATGCCTAAGATAGGTATTACCCTCAGGAAGCCCACAGACTAGAGATACTATATTCATAAGGGCAACTAATGTCTATTTCCCAGTATATTTCTCTGGTATGTCCTAGGTTCAATAGAGACAGTTATATGTCTAGATCAGCGGTTCTCAACCTGGGGGTTGAACGACCCTTTCACAGGTGTCTCCTAAGACCATCAGAAAACACATATATAATTACATATTGTTGTTGTGATTAATCACTATGCTTTAATTATATTCAATTTGTAACAATGAAATTGGGGGTCACCACAACATGAGGAACTGTATTAAAGGGTCGTGGCATTAGGAAGGTTGAGAACTACTGGTCTAGATAGAGGTAAAATGCTGAGGAGGTTTTAGATGATTAAATTACTCATAAGTTGGGGTATCCTGGAAAACTTCCTGGAGGAAGTGGCCTATGCTTTGTATCTTAAAAAATAGGATGAGGGGCATTGGAAATGTGGTGAGTCATGGGGCCGGGAGGATGGAAGTACCCATGGCGTTTAAGTCATAAGCTGTCGAACTTGCGGTCCTCATTCAGGGAAATGATTTGGACCCCAGGCTGTGTGACTGGGAGGAGTATAAGAAGCGACTGAAGGAGGAGGCTTGAAGCTATGTCACACGACCCTTAGATAAAGGACTCTGGACTTATCTTTAGACAATGGAAGGCTATAAAATGCTCTTGAGCAGAGAAGGGACATTAAGGTTCTCCTATACAAAGATGGCTCTGGCAGAAGTGTGGAGAGTGGGTTGTAGGATTTGAAGGCAGAGAGCCCAGTTAGGAGGTTCAAGCCAGTAAAGGAGGTTCCTAAGTGACAGGTGTAGGCTGATACTCTCCCGGAAGCACCTGCCCAGAACCAGCTCACCTGGGCATTGACTGCACACTGTCCAGTGATCCAAGTTTAGTGGAAACCTGCCTTCCCTTTAATGTACCCGCTGTGGCCTGGAGTCTAACTAAGGAATCATTGTGATTTTGACCATATTTACCTTCCAAGCCTCATTTCCACCTTTCAGGACAGCCCTCAAGTCTGCAGCCAAATCTTAGCTCATTGCAGGCTTGATTTACTCACTCTTGCACCTCAGGCTACTCTCTGAGAGAGAGAGAGAGAGAGAGAGAGAGAGAGAGAGAGAGAGAGTTTTCTTAACATTGCAGAGCAGGCTGTGCCCTATCATGTTCTGAAGAAATGATGAACAATGTCTCCTTTGTTGACCTGCAACCTGGGCCAGTGGGGTAGTACTTTGTTTTGTTATTTTAAAGAGATGGAAAAGTGATGATGACAGAAAATTGTCTGTTGCTTTTGAAAATGGTGGTGTTTTCCTGTGTTTGAAATCCTCTTGGTGAAAGGTGACGAGCCTATGAAGTTACCCCCCTTTCTGCCATGCAGACGTTGTAGGCTTCTTAAAATGCTTCTGCTCAGCATACGACTTTTTAAAAACTGCCTAAATACTCTGACCCAGATTCTTCCAAGGAACTAAACTCTTCCAGGGAAGCATGTTAACCCTTTCTAGGTTCCCCCAAATTTATGAGAGTCAGTAACTTCCTCCAGGAAGCTCTGCTATTGACTGCTGTCTGCTCTTGGGCCCTAATTAACTAGCTGGGTATACCATTCCTGTCCTTTCTAGCCTAAAAGTCTTTTATTTTTGGTCTAACTTCCATCTCCTCAGGGTTGGGCACCCTGAAGGTGCATGGAGAATGTTGAATGAGTGTTGAATATAGTCAAGTTAGGGTCTCACTGCAGTGCCTACAGCAGCCTCCTCAGTCAGATAGTTAATCAGCAACTTGTTTCTGGCTACGTTAGGAGTGCTTAGATTGGGAGAATGAGCAACTAACTCACACACACACACACACACACACACCCCCCACACACTTTTAGATAGACAGAGGGGTCAGTTAAGTAACCAAAAATTTGCCATGAATTTGTGTTTGGGCCAAACAAACAAAGATAAAAACCAACCCAGGAAGTTGCTGGCCCTCCACCCTAACTGTTGAAGAAGAAAGCTTCTTTGCAAATGTGCTCACAGACTATTTTTCAGTATCCTTTTCCTGGGCAGCGAAAATAGCACCACGTTGACACACTCTCCACCCCTTTCTCAAATGGAGAATTAAGCTCCTAAACTCGAGAAAAGACTTTGGCTTTGGAAGGCTCCTCTTAGATCGCAACGGCCTTTATTTTTCAGTCATCCTCCTTTCTCTCCCAAAGCAGAGAGAATATTGGACCGTGTTCATCAGCGGTCACGTCTTTGATCCCACTGTGAGACCAGCAACTCACAAGGCGTCTTTGCTACTGTATCCTGCCCCGTTGTTAGGACCAGAGGCTGCTGTGTTTCCTCTGTCCCTTTTTCTGCCCCCAAGAAGGGCTATTCTCTGTCTTATTGCTTCACCTGTTTGCTTTAAACCTTAAAACAAATAATGCAGCTACATGTAGTGAGACTCCCCTTTGTCCTGGAGTATCTGAATGATTTGTGGGTTTGGTTTAAAGTACAGAAAGGAGAGAGAGCGAGAGAAGAAGAAAAAAGGTATTTTGCCTGAGGACTTGAAGGTCCCCCCCCTCCCCCCGCCCCTTTTCCTCCGCTTGACTGACTTTCTCACACTCAGATTCCCTGCAGCCTGCCAGAGACGTGGTCGCTGCCCTGCCAAGAGCTATCTGGGAGAGCTATTGAAAGAGCCTTGAGTAAGTACACACTGGGCGGATTTTCTCCTCCCCTTGGTACCTGCTCCGCACCTGTACCAGGAGCAGTCCCACACATATCACCTGATCGCAGCCCTTTCAGAGACCGTGAGAAAAATAAAGTCCAGGATAGAAGAGATGTTTGTCGCCTCTCCAGGGCTGCAGCCGGCTCCCCGCAGTCCCAGTGCCCAGGAACAGCACATTCCAGGCCCGCGGTGCTTGCCTGTTTGCCTGTGCGCGTGCGGGGTGGGGGCACCACCACAGGAAGGGGAGGGAAGCCTGAGATCACCTTCATAATGTCTGCCTGGCTGCCTTTGTTTTCTGGCACCTGTCTGACTGGTAGTTTTATGATCCTTTACTAGAATCATTATTATGGTTCTTCTAGACAAGAGTCCATCTATGCGCGTCACAGCAGAATTCATAACTGGGACTTCTTATCTTAAGGTTCATGGACGAACTCTCAGAGAGCCTATAAAGCTCGTGAAATGGAATTCCAAATTGTTCTCCATGAATACTTTTTGAAAGAATGAATGGATGTGCTATTTTTTTTTTCCTGAGGTGAGGGCCCATAGGTTTCAGCAGAATTTCAAAACATTTTGTGACCCCAAAAGACTGAGGGAACTGAGCCACACAGTCTCCACTTACAAGTGGATACCCAGCTTCAGGGAGGGCAAGGGACTGGCTCAAGGGTCCACAGCACCGTAAGCCAGAGCGGGGCTAGCCACCAGCTGGGAGCTCTTTCCATCACACCACAGTGCTGTGGTCCTGGGTCAGTTTAGGGTGGGTTTATAGGGGGGCTATCACCACCAAAGCCTGGATTGAAAGTGGACACATTAATAAAGACACTTTGAATTTCCAGAACTTTTTCTTGGTCTTAATTCGGAGACACTGGAGTTGCTCTGCACCCAGTTTTTGGATGGCAAAGGGATAGGCTAGAAAGCCAGGTGTCCAGGCAGAGAAGAGGATTCCCTAGAGCTTGGAGCAAGAGTCCTGGTTGCCATGCGGGGGCATTACAAACAACGGCAGCTCTGCATTCCACCTTTGATAAAAATAAGTTGCTACTTCTGAACAAAACTGCTTAGTTGGTTTCCAGCCAAGCTGGGACCTTGGACTGCTAACTGCGGGTGGAGGTGGAAGACAGAAGCTTTCAACATTGGCTAACAGCAGCCTGTAGTGCTTTCTGCCACCCCCACCTCCTCTTGGAAAACTCGGCTAGAGCCAGAGAGACCACGGGAATGTGCGCTTTCTAATGGGCTCTGAAGAAGGATGGTTGCCAAGAAAGCCTTTCCCAATGGGGTGGGGGCAGGGCGCCCTTAACTCCCACGTTTGGCCTGGCCTCAGCAGCGTGGTGGGAAGGCTCTAAATGTGCTCTTGGCTAACCTTTTACCCTCTGAGCAGCATTGCAGTGAGGCAAGCCTGCAAGCCCGGGATACAGGAGGTCATTCCCAAGGGATCTGACTTGTACCCTTGTGTGTAAAAGGCTCAGAACTATACCCTGGCTGGTGACTGGGCCGGGGGGGGGGGGAGGGGGGGCTTTGGAAGGCCCAGGAAGGGAGGCAAAGCCTAGCCCCTTTCAACCCAGGACATGCGTTTGTTTGGATTGCTCATAGTTGTTCAGATGGTGATATCAGACCAAGTTTCTCAAAAAATCACAAACGAAAGCAAAACTCAGCTTGCCAGGAAAACTACTTAGGTAAAATTGTGGGCCTAAAAGTAATATGGGACAAATGTATATGACATTTGAATTAAAATCACATCATTATTATCTTTGCATTATCTCTCAGAGCAAAGGGGAGAGAGGAGGCAGGGGAAGGGACCCAAAAAGCAGCTGAATTGGCCCCCTCATTGAAGGCACTGGAAAAACAGCCCAGGAGGAAGTGACTTGCCCAAGGTCAAGCAGCCTCCCAGTGAGGGTATAGCAAAGCCAGGACAGGCTCAGGTTTCCTGCCCACCAGTCCAGAAAACCACCCCACTGTATCTCTATATGAGAACGTTTTGAAATGCCATCTACAGCAAGTGAGTAACATTACCACGAAAGACGTGTTTTCCGGTTGAGCTGTGTGCTGGTGAGTGATTTGGGTAGTGTGACAGAATATGCCCAGCACAGAGCATGGGTAAATTTCAGGCTTGCTGCGTTGGAACTCTCACTCCATAACCTCTAGAAAAGAAGGGATCTTGATTTCTGAGTTCCAGGAGCTAGGAAGCCACTTAGAGGGCCCACACACGGCAATCATCCTGCCTCGTGTCATCCCTTCTTATAACGGCCAACCTGTTTCCTTTATTTGTGCTCTAAAAGAAAGGTTGGGGAGAGAATATTTCCAGCCCTGAATCTGTGTTCTGTCAATACGAGGCTTGTGTTAGGCCCAGAGAAGGTGCGATGCTGGTGATATAGTGAAGGCCTTGGGGCACGATCACATCGATCTGCTGGCTGACTCACATTTAGCAGAGGGACAGGGGAGAAATATAAGAGATTTTCCCAGTGGTCAGTAAGTGGTATTTGCATGTGAAATATATACAGAGTTGGGCAAAAGTAAGTTTATAGCTGTGAGTATATGAAACAGTTCATCCTCATATTATTTACTAATTATTGTATTTATTTGTATTATTATTTTGTATCCTTACTTATGACTCATCGTTTAGGTAATGATGGCTGGTAATTTAACCTATTTTTGCCCACCCTGTATTTTCCTTTTGGATATCAGGCTTAGGGGATGAGAGAAGACGTTTGGGCAGCTGCCACAAACGCAGCCTAAGACTGGTGGGTGCTGGCATGGTTGGGGCCTTCTGGTCTCTTCCACGGAGTTGGAGGTACCTGTTTCCCTGCTTCGTTGTACTTGACAGTTGACAAAGCACTTTTTAGTCCATTGCGACATGTTGTCATTACATACAGCCTCATGATTTAGAAAGACTTTGGTGGGAGAACAGGGAGAGAGACAGGATTCAAGTGGTCAGTGTAGGAGACATTCGATGGAGCCCTGGGCTACTGGGGGCACAGGGTATAGGACAGATGAGTTTTCTGGAAAATAGTACCTCTAGAGCAGGGGTGGGGGACCTTTCTCTGCCAAGGGCCATTTGGATATTTATAACATCATTTGTGGGCCATATAAAATTATCAGCTTAAAAATTCGTCTGCTATATTCAGTCAAACATTTAATTAACTCACCCCTAATGCCTTGGCAGGGCCAGACCAAATGATTCTTGGGCCTTATATGGCCCTGGGGCCTGACCTTCCCACCCCTGCTCTAGAGAGACAAGGCCGGGCAGGGAGCTTAGAGTCCAGGAGAGAACCTCATTTTCTTTCTCAGCCACAGGCGACAATAAGATTTCCAGAAACTGGAACACAGGGGACAATTTGGTGTAGCATATTAGTAATCCAGAGGATGCATCTTTGGATATCTTTGCAAAGAGGAAAGGTCCTTCTTCATGGTGAGAAGCTGGGAGAGGAGGAGAATCAGGAGATGAGATCTCACTGAGCAAGAAGGTGATTGAGCAGGTTCTAGGAAAGACATGGAAAGGTGGTGGTCGTAGTCTCTCCTGGGCTGAGGCTGGGGCTGCTTAGTTCAGCGTGCAGTACCTTGGGGGGGGATTTCCTGGAAAGCCCTCAGCAAGGGAGACCAGGCCTGTGACTGAGGGCCCTTGTAGAACTCTGGACTCCGCATTGCTTTTCCTCCCTAGTTAGCTTTGCTCTGTGCTGTCTGTATTGTCATCAGCATAACATAAAACCCATGACCTGAACCAGGTTCAGGGGCTGCTTGGACGAGACATTCTGTGAGGAAGAGAAAAGAACCTCTCCTTTTGCAGGGCCGGACTACCATGGCCAGCCTTGACTGAAATGCCAGAGGAGCAGGGGAGGGGAGCGCTGTGTGACGTGCTGGTGTGTGGCCGCCTGCCTGACCCGCAGAGGCCTCTGAGAAAGTGCCAGAGTGTTACTGGCTTCCCAAGGAGATCGCCACGCTGTGCACGTATCACACATGTATCCAGCTGGGGCCTCACCACGCTGGGCTCCCACAGTCACAGAGGGCCCGGTAACCGCGTTCAAGTAGTGACATCGTTGTCTGGGGTGGCTCTTCCACACTCTGCACCCTCCTCACCTGCCCTCAAAGTCTGGCACCTGGGACAGACCTGGACGGCGTGTCTAGAAGTACCTGTCATCAGACAGGTGGGAGGAGTCTCGGCTTACTTTCTTTGTGCCTGGTGAACCTGTGTTGATGGGAGTCAGACAATACAGTCAGGGGTTTAAACCACCCAATTTCCAATGACCCCAACTTAACTGGAATTAACCTTCAAATATTTGAAGAATAATTGCATAAACGAACTTTGACTTAAGAATATTTTATTGGCAATGTCATGGAACCCTCAGAGGGTCAGCACATTTTCCCGTTTTCTTTGGTTGCTGAATCAGAGCTGGGTTAACTTTGACCACTCCCGGTGACTACCTCTGGGCAGCCAGGATACCCTTGCGGACAGCCCTGCTCTGTTGCAATCAGGTGAATTTAGAGGAATCTGTGGCTGTCCGTGTTTTCCCAGGCCTATCTTTATTGATGGTTATTAAAGACACACCACCACATGGCCATATGAAAGTACAAAGCAATTCCCAGGGTAAGGTTCGTGGGAAGAAGTGAGATACTGAGCTCCCAAATAATTCTACTGTAATCGCAGTCTGCCATATCTGTGTATAGTTAATAAGTAAGACTTAAGCAGGCAGGTTCCACCACTGGGCAGCAGATGCAACGGCAAAAGAGGCCAGTGGGAGATCCCAGGTCCTTCTGGAAACCGGGAAGGGAACTAAAAAGGAGGACAGCTGGGACAGGAGAGTCTGGTGGGCAGTCGCTGAAGCGGGCAGGTCCCCGTGAGGAGGACCATGGCTTACCTCTGCGTGTGCCCTCACTCTATGCCACCCCTCCTGGAAGAGTGCATGACCAAGAAGTAGAGAGTAATCATGCCCAGACACACTGAGTTCAATAGGTGTAAACACCACACACAAAACCACCTGTTTTCATCGAGCACCCCGCCACACCTGCTGTTTTACGATGGTGAGTGATATTGATAAAGGGGGCTATAAAGGCGAGGTGAAATGGCCTCATATTTAAATAGCACCTTCCTCTGTGAACTTCAAGTGTTTTACAGCTGAGATTTGACTGACCGGGTGATCATTTCTTATAGGAATGTTGACCACATATCTCTGTATCTGTTCAGAAAAGAAACCGTAGCAGGTGGCTAAAAAGTAAAGACTTTGAAGACTGACGGCCCTGGTGCACGTCCCAGCTTGTTCGCTTTCTAGCTAGGTGACATGACCATTCTGTGCCTCAATTCACTGACCGGTTACGTAGGGAGACATTCATGTTACCTTAGAGGTTCGTGATGAGAACCACTGTATATAATGTGCTTAGAACAATGCCTGGCATATTGTAAAGACAACGTAACTTTTCAGCTGTTTTTAGCATTGCTATATACCAGTATGTGTCTTGGACGAGTAACATAGGTACCCTCATTCATCTGAAAAAAGTCACAAGATGTTAATATTCTCAAAGACATGGACAGCCACTGTGGTAAATTGGTCCATGAGTATTTGATAAAGCAGAAGCGTCAGCCAGTGTTTTATGAATCTCAGGCGGTGGGAGCAGGAGAAACCTAAACAGGGAACTGGCTTCTTCTCCTTTCCCAGGGAGGAGGGTCTCTACCACCCTAGCACTGTGGTTGCGGCTTTGTCTGCGGCCCATGTAGAGCTTGGTGTGGCCTGGCCCTGATCATGGCAATGAGCCGCAGGCCCACGGAAAGCAGAGTTCTGGTGGAGGCAGGGGCATCAGCAAGATGTGTGGGTGACTCCTCCCCCCCCCGGAAGGAATGGGGTGGCTGCAGAGGGACACAACCCAAAAGAGTAATGTGAACAGACCCTCCAGGGACCCCAGCCGCATTTATATGAGATAAAGATTGATGGGGAAGATGACTGTCTGAGGTCTTTCCTGCTCCAGCAGGTTCTTGTCGATGAGCGTATCATTTGTGGTCCAAACTGGGACACGCTTGAGTGTTAGGAGGTAATGCTTTTAACAATTATGTCAGGACAACTGGCATCAGCTGGGACATGTGGCCATCCCACTTCTGCTAGTTTCTTCATCCGTCCCTTCCGTTATCTTTTCGTCAGGGATGCTTCCTGAGAAGAAATATTCTTCCCCAGTCACTAATATTCTTCCCCAGTCACTGATGTTTTAGCACTTCAGCATCTGTGGAAGGTGATGTCATTGATCTGCCTTCCATAGAGCTAGAGTATAAAGGAGAAAGCAGGGTCAGAGGGAGGCCGCCTGATGGTTGGATGGTTGTGCTCAAGGTATGCTTGACATGACGGCTTCTTCGGTTAGAGTGTGTGCTCTGAGCTTCCTCCCCTACCAGTTTGCACCCAGATTGTGGCTACCGCATAGCAGTGCTACCGGGGACTCTTGCACCTACTTACTATGGCTGAGCACATCTGTTTTTCTTAGGCGGGTGAATGTGGAAAAACGAGTGCTAACATTTGAAATCCAAGCCATTGTTTCATAGCCGAAGGAAGACCCTAAAGGAAGGAGCATTTTCCCACATGAAATATTTGCCCTTTTAGCCTTGAAGTTGACTAAAACTTTAATAGAAAAAAAAAACACCCAGAAAATTTTTTCCAAATAGGCCAAAGTCAGGTTTATTCTTTGTTAATTCCCTTAAAAAAAAAAAAAAAAAGACAAAAAGAAAAATGGCTCCCTCGCCTGAGTGGTCTTCTATGTGCCTATTTAATGATTAATAATACCTTGTGGGCTATTGTTTGATGTGGCCTCTGCTGGTTTGAACAGGAGAATACTGATTCACTCGTAAGGCATTTATGAATCACGAGTGTTTACCCTGAAACAATAAATGAGAGGGGGAGATGAAAAAACACCCAAATATGCTGAATTCTTTGACTAAAAACTGTAGATAACCCTGTGTGGGGTCCACCGCTTTCTCTCGGAGAAGAAAGGTTGTGTACAATGACCAAGACTGGGGCTTGGGAGTTTTGTGGATTTTTTTCCTTTCACTTACTGATAGGGTTGAGCCAACTTTCCCACTCCGTTTCCGTACCACATGCATTCATTTTCTTCTGATCTGTCTTTTGACTTGTAATCCAGAGGGGAAGCTGGAGCCCTGCCTTAACTAAAGTGGGGCTGGTGGGCTGAGAGAAGGGATTCAAGAGGCTACGAGACCTGCCAGGCCTCAACTGGACCGTGATGGAGAAGGAGGAGTCAAAAGATGACAACTGGTTTGTTGTCTGAACTATGTGGACCCTTCTTCCACATTCCACGTTTAATAATAACTCCTAGACTTGTTTCCCCTTCTTCCTGCCCCAACGCCTAGAGTTCAGTGAAAAAAGACTTCCAAATTTGCCCCAATGACGCTTAAATATATTTTTATATTTTGAGATCATTTTAGACTTATAGAAAAGTTGCAAAAATAGTACATAGGGCTCATTTAACCCTCGAACCAGCTTCCCCGGTGTTACCATCTTATACAATGATGGAGTGATCATTAAAACTAAGGAAATCATCTTGCTCCAATCCTATAACTACAGACTTAATTCAGATTCCACCATTTTTTCCATTAATGTATTGTGTTTTCTTTCTGTTCCAGGACCCCATGCAGGCTTCCACAGTGAATTTAGTTATCTTATCTCCTTCATCTGCTTCACTCTGTGGCAGATCCACCATCTTTCCTCGTCTTTCACGACACGTTCAAGGGTCCTAGTCAGTTGTTTCATAGAATGTCCTCCACTGGGGTCTGTCTGACATTTTCTCGTGGCGATATTGAGGAGCTGCATTATTGGGAAGAACACCCAGACTTACCTGATGTTGTATTTCACTGCCGTTAAACATGATCACAAGGTTAAGATCATTTCTCCAGGATTGTCTATGATCAAGTTACGACTTTTGTATTTCTTAAAAGTTTTTTTGGGGTGTGTGTGTGTGTGATATTTCAAAGCAATGCAAATATGCTATTACGCTTGCACTTCTGCCTACTAAATCTATCAAAGGATCTCACCTGTGGCAATGAATATTGTGGCAATCTAAAAGTCATGTTATTCCCCTCATTCCTTCTACATTTATAAATTGCAACTCTTCTTAAGGAGGAGTTGCATGGTGTTACATTGTGGTAAAGCAGAAATAAAAAATAACCCATACTCTTGGAGCCTAAATTTTAGATGAAGAGATAGACAAGCAAAATAAATAAGTGGATTTGTTAGTATATTGAATGGTGACAAGTACTGCAAAGAGAAATCAAGTAAGGGAGGGGAGATAGAAAGTGCCAGGAGGTGCAGGTTTAAATTGCATGGTTAGGGAAGGCCTTAGAGAGAAGACTTGAAGCAAAGGAGGGAGCCAGTGTGTGAAGCTTTCTCCAAAGAAGAACTAGCAAGTACAAAGGCTCTGAGGCAGGACCACATCCAGCCTAAGTACTCTAAGGAAGCCAGGCGGCCAGAGTGATGGGTGCCAAGTGAGCAAAGTGGGGAGGGGAGTGAGAGAGAGCTGAGGCAGGCCTGGGGACATTTTATTGACCTGGCTATTGATCTGAGGAAGGCAGGAGCCATTGCAAGATTTTGAGCAAAGAGGTCACATGATGTGACTTCATATTATTAAAAAATCTGCTCTGTGGTTGGCAAGGACAGAGGCAAGGAGACCCTGCTTAGGGAGCTATGACATCATCCAGGTAAGAGATGGAAGTGGGTTGGACCAGAATGGTAGCAAAGAGGTGATTGGATTGTGCATGTGTTTTGACAGTAGAACTAACACTGCTAAGAAAGGTCTTCAGCAGCTTTTGCCACCTCCTGAACGCCCAGGGCATGTATCTTCCCTCTCCCACCTTGAAGTGGGGCTTCAGGAGCAAGATTGAGAAGCACGGGCTGGCCACCTGGAGTCTAAGCTCTGCAGTCCCTCATTGGAGCCTTCTTTATCTGGGTCTATCTTCATTTTCTCTGCACTCCCACTTCTCTCTGCCCCAGGCCCACCTCTGCCCAGGCCAGCCCACCACCATTTGCTCACAGTCTCCCACCCCTGCTCTGCCAAACAAGATCCTTCCCCTCCTTTAAGGTTCAGCTTTGCCACCCCCAGCCCCTCTAGGAACACCTTCCCTCTTGGTTGTTGACACTAACTAGACTCTGCTTCACAGGTGCAGCCTCGGAGACAAACAGGCTCTCAGACACCCCTGCAGCTCAGGGACCCTGGAACACTGAGCCGGCACCGAGCGCTTGGTCGGTATGGTGCTTGGTTTGTTGGTATATAGCATACGGTGGAATGAAAACATGTTTCCTCTTAGTTATCCAAGCACATTTTGCATTATACTTCACATACATCCATACTTTTTTTTTTCATGTAAAAATAACTCTTTTTGCCTCTCCCTCTGCCCAATCTTTCAAGTAAAGTTACAATTCCAGAATTCCTCTTGTTGGTCCAATCTGTGTCCCTGGGGGTCCTGTGTATCTCAGCCGGAGAAGTCAGATGAGGAGTACAGGGAGAAACGGGCATCACTGAGCGGTCATTTACTGCTAATGAATTCTGTCTCTTTATCTACTGATTGACTGAATGTATCAAAATGCATCTGGTTAGAAATTTTAAGCAGTACAAAAGTAACCCTTCCCACCCAGTGGCTCAGTGGTTGAGCGTCGACCTATGAATCAGCAGGTCACGGTTTGATTCCCAGTCGGAGCACATGCCCAGGTTGTGGGCTCAATCCCCAGTGTGGGGCAATCAATGGTTCTCTCTCATCACTGGTGCTTCTATCTCTTTCTACCTCTCCCTTCCTCTCTGAAATCAATAAAAATACATTTTAAAAAATTAACCGTTCAGCCCTGACCGATTTGGCTCAGTGGATAGAGCGTCGGCCTGCGGACTGAAGGGTCCCAGGTTCCATTCCGGTCAAGGGCATGTGCCTTGGTTGCGGGCACATCCCCGGTGGGGGGCATGCAGGAGGCAGCTGGCCGATGTTTCTAACTCTCTATCCCTCTCCCTTCCTCTCTGTAAAAAATCAATAAAATATATTTTTTTAAAAAATTAACTGTTCCATGGGTGGCCCCATCCCCCAAGCGGTGTCCCAGAGGCATCACTCTCACCTGTCCCTTATATACCCATTCGGAAGTGGCTAATGAACACTCAGTGGCCGGTAGTAGACAGTCACTATCAACTGCAGGTGAACTGAGGCGCCGTGAAAACCAGCCCCGGCTCTGCACTTCCCGGGGCCGAGGCAGCTCCGTGCAGAAGGGCTGGCTCAGCACAGCCAACCTGCCATTTTGATTGTTGTCGTTGGCTCAGACCACACAGGGGTGAGTTTGCAAAGACACCACACTCGGTGGAATTGGGCAGTTGGTACCACCTTCTTTGGCTCTGGTTTTGTGCCCTCACAGGGAGATTCGTTGTCATTGAGATTTCCCAGGTTGGCTGTCGTCTCCCCCTCAAAGTCAGCCAGGGGAACACAGCCAAAAGCTACATCAGGAAGAAAGGCCGGTGGGAGAAGGGGTGGAGGAAGCCAGCCCCTGAGCTGCGATTACAGCAATGCAGGGGATTACAGGGAGTTTCGGGGGGAGCTTTACCCCCCACCCCACTCCTGGGCTCACCTGAAAGGCGGCCCTCTCCCTCCACCTTTCCCGTGGGAATTCGGCGCAGCCAGCAGAACCCCTGAACTCTGCTGGGCCACTGCCAGCAACTTTCAAGCCGTTCCCCCTGCCGACTACCGTGACATGATGTCGTTTTTTATTGAGGCAAGATTAGATTTTTTTTTTTAAGTTTTCAAAAGTGTGGTTCACATGATCTCTGGTGCTTTTCCTATTGCTTGAAGACCACAGAGCTGCCAATTTCAATTTGCTTCAGCTTTTATCACTAGAAGAAGCTTAAAAGAAAAAGAAAGGGGAGAAAGGCTGGATGAAAATATTCCCCTGGGCCCTGGCAGTTAGTATGAGGGTGGCAGGGGACACACGCATCGCTCACTCCCTTTTGTGTAACTGGTGTAACAGGAAGATGTCAGGAGATTTAAGCTGGGACTGGTGGCTGGACAGCATACAATGTCCTCTACAACGAAGGGTTTTTATGCCATAGCCAGAAAGGGAACGTGCAGCGTGGAGTCAGTCACAGTAGCCAGGACAGTATTAACGAGAATGCTGATCTATATGGAAATAGGTAAAATAAACTCAGAAAAGCTGTTCTTCCTCTTAATTCATTCATTCATTCATTCATTCATTCATTCAACATATTTACTAAGCACATATTTACTATGTTGCTGAGAATGCAGGATGAATAAGGCAAAGTCCTATTTTTTAAGAAAAACTGAAGAATACCTATTTGCAGGGATCATGGTTTTTCAGATGCCAACTCAGTCCTCAAAATGGGTGGTGTGATGGAAAGTTAGGATAAACGTAAGATCGAATCCTATTGTTTTGGCATAAAATCAGAGAAAGAGGTCTGGAGGACATGCTGGGGAAATAAATGTCTCCCACTCCATCAGGATCTTGGAGGAGAAACAACATGTAAATATCACCACCATTGACTTTCAGATTCCTAACAGTCCGATGATCCCCACACCAGCCTATGCAGTAGGGAGGGGCAGCATTCATCACAGCTCTGCACTGCACCTGGCTCATGGTAGGTGCTCAGTCAGTGTTTGCTGAATGACTGTGGGTAAACCCCCAATTTACAGGGCGGGACAGGTTCAAGAGTAATCAGGAGATTGATCCTGAGTCACCTGGTAGTAAGTGGCAGAGGCTGGACTTGAACTCAGAGGTGTTGAGTACACACATCAAGGCCCGTCATTCCTCCTAGAGGCACCACTCTCTAAAGATTTCTCCAAACTACTGCCCTTCCTTTGACTGGCAGGAGAGTGTCTCTGGAGTCAACATCCCCCAAGGTTGCAGTGAGTTTTTGGAGAGCAATTTCAATGGCTGGAGGACAAATTGACCACAACTGTGGACAGGACACGCCATGAACAGACCTGGTCTCCTTGGAAGTTTCTCCCAGGGTTGAGTTGGTTGGGTTAAGAAAGCTGGGTGTTGGCTGTTCTTTGGGTATAGACTCCTAAGCTGTCCCAAATTGAGGTGGAAATATTTTGTGGAAGTCTATGCATCTCCCCAACTTATTCTGCCTCGGTCAAACATCTGGATCAGAAAAGACTGATTTTATTTTATTTTTAATATATTTTATTGATTTTTTACAGAGAGGAAGGGAGAGAGATAGAGAGTTAGAAACATCGATGAGAGAGAAACATCGATCAGCTGCCTCCTGCACATCTCCCACTGGGGATGTGCCCGCAACCCAGGTACATGCCCTTGACCGGAATCGAACCTGGGACCTTTCAGTCTACAGGCCGAAGCTCTATCCACTGAGCCAAACCGGTTTCGGCAGAAAAGGCTGATTTTAGAGAAAACTTGTGAAGAAATCACTTCCAATTTGTGTCTCATGAACCTTGATTTTTCTCCTCCACTGAGTGGGGCAAGTCCCGGGGAGTTTTGAAGGATTCACCAGGGTTGTAGAGCAAGGAAGTCTAATTCCACTGTCTGAAAGGAACCGGAAAGCCACTGAGTCCCTTCCCCTGCCTCCAGGGACAGAGGATCACAGCACTGGATAGGCCCTGCCAGGAAAGCAGTGTGGGGACGAGAAGGAGCCTGCAGAAAAGGAGAGTCTGGATGAGAAGGAGACCAGGGGATGGAAACCCATCTTCCTGTCCACTTTACCCTGAGAATATGAGGTAGTGTCAAAAGCTCTGGACTGGAAGTCAGGGGAGGATCCGAGTTCTAGTCCTGCCTCTGCCGTAGACTCACAGTGTATGTTCCTGAGGACCACATTCATTGCCTCCTCTCTGGGCCTTAGTTTCCCCATTAGTAGTCTCATGGTTTCCAACCAATGCCTGGGAGGAGTTTCCTCCCAGGGAGTGCGGGCAGGGCCTGGGGGTGCTGAGCAGGAGGGGCACTTGCAAACCCTCTCACCCTTCTACCAGAACCATTTGGCTTTTGCCTGTTCACACATCGCATATCCTCATACCATTTTGTTTTTTAAAAACAGTTCCATTGGTTTTTGTGTTTAAGTTTGAAAACCACCAACTAGATCAGTGGTTCTCAACCTCGGCTGCACATTAGAATCACCTGGGGATCTTTTAAAAATTCTGATTTCTGGGCCTCATCCTCCGGAAATTCTGTTTCTTTGT